GCCGGGCGGGGCGATGAAGTGCTCGCGCGGGCACACGTGCTCGTGCGGCGGGTTCTGCCGGCGCACGGTGCGGCTGACGGTGGAGGCGGTCGGGGACGACCGGCTGCAAGTGTTCACGTGCGGGGCGCAGATCGCGGCGACGCCCGGGTTTAACAAGCTCGCGCGCATCACGTACGAGGGCGCGTGCGACAATGTGATCGTGCGCGCGGTCAACTTGGAGCGCAACGGGACAAGGCGCAACGTCGTGGCCGCGGCCGTGCTCGTGACGGAGGGGGACGTGGTGTACGGGACGGCGGCGACCGTGGAGGGCGTGACGCCGATCGGGGGCGTCGGGACGTTCATGCCCGCGGCAGGGTTCGAGACGAACGCGGCCGACTTTGACTTCTCCGCGTGGACGCCCCTGGTGCCGGTGGTGCAGCTGCTGACGGCGTCCAACTTCATGGAGCTCGGGGCGCGCGGGGCGCGGCCCGTGTGCACGTTGGCTGGTACGGCGCCCGCAGGGGTGTACGGGTTCAGACTGGACGCGCCGTACTGCTAGGGGGCGGGTTGGAGAGATGTTGCAAGCGAGGAAGGGAAAAGGGTGGCGGGGGCTGGGGTATGTAACGGCGGCGGGAAGTAGCGGGGTCGGGTACGCAGCTACGGTACGTAGTGTTGAATACGTGTATAGTAGGTGCAACAGAAATGAGATGCTCCCAGTACCGGTGCAGTAAAGTGCGATTACAACGGGTATGCTCCTGGCACAGTAAAGCGAGATTACACGGTAGAGTTGATGAATCATGGAATGGGTATGCTGCCGGCACACAGTAAAGCGAGATTACGGTAGAGCTGAGATGCACGGGTTTGACTGACGTGTAGGCAGTGGCAAGCCACGTAGCGGCAAGCTACGTAGCGGCAAAAGCGGGTGCAACATACAGTACCAAAGGGTACCGTACCAAGGGTACTGTAACAATACAGTGACGGTAGAGTTTGTGGTAAGAAGTAGCGACCAGAGTGTAGGCTACAGTAGACACTAAGTGTCGCAAAAAAGAAAAGAAAAGGGGGGAACAATAAAGGTTAACCGGCAGGACCGGGCGAATGAGGGGAATCGCGCTTTTTATTGTCGTGGCTTCGTTTTTGTTTTTCGCTTGTCTTGGCAGCTAGTCTGCCTCGACTCTTCCCTTATTTATACTACTTCAGCCAGGTGCTTTGTCCTCTCCTCACGTAATGTTTTGCACTATCGAAGCATTTTTAGGAGAGGATGCACTGCATGTTGACATCTGAGATTATTAAAATGCTCCCGTTGTTGTGCATTACATTAATTGCGTTGAGGTGCATTTTATTCGTCCTGTATGCGTCACCGTCATACCATAATTTCCCACACTAAGATGCTCTTAGAATAGACTCGCGGTAGAGATAATTTGTTGAGAAAATCAGAAAGCGAGAATAGAGATTGGGGGCGTCTATTACTTGGCGTAATATGAGTGGTAGATGGCGGACGTCCGGAACAGCAGTATACAGGTCGGTGCGACAGAGGGGAGTTGCTCGCTGTAAACAAAGCGGAGATTACAGTGGAGCGACTGAAAAGCAAATGGGTTGCTTTCAGCGTTGCTTTCAGCGGCGGAGCTGTATACGGGGGCGTTCCACCGGCGTTCCAAGGGACCCACGTGGGAGGCGGTACGCACCGTACAGTACCGTGTAAATTACGCCGGGGGAGCGCTCCTGTGACGTGAGGCCGGGCGAGGCCCGGGAGGCCGGGGTGTACAGTACCGCCTTCTTCCGTACACTCCCTTCCGTACACTCCCTTCCGTACATGACGTAAGGCAAGGGTAAGTCCCGCAAGGGTAAGTCCCGCAAGGGTAAGTCCCGCACCATCTCGAGTCATCTCCCGGAGTCACATCTTTCGCGAGTCACTCCTTCTCGAGTCACGCCTTCTGGAGTCACATCCTTCTGGAGTCTTCTCCGTCACACCGGCGTGATCACAAACCCTGTTGGGCCCCACACATGAATTCGACACCTAAAGTTTAATTTAAATGTACCATGGTCATTTGATGCCACCTACACGTGTACACACGTACACGCCAGTCCATTTGATACTGTAGAGGATGCCCGTATCGTTGCCGTAAATTTAATGCAAAGCGATGCAACGTCAAGCAGCAGTGCGTGGGACGTGTGATGATTTGCCCATCACCGAGAAGAGAATACTACGGTACCGGTACTGTACCCAAAGGTACCAGAAGGTAGAGGAAAAATAAAAAAGACACTCGGAGAGAACAGAGCCAAACCCAAACGCCCACACGCCTGCCTTACACCACCTCATCCGTCACACACAGACGGTTGCCCAAAACCGTCCATCACGCCCATCACGCCCGGCAGTACGCCTTTTTGAACACCTCGTCCGACGTCCAGAACTCATTCACGGCCCTCTTCGCCACGCGACAGAACCCCTTCTCCCTGAGCAACTTCTCGCACCGGTTTCCCCCGCCCGCGAAGCAGCTGCTGCCCATCTCGATCACCACCACGCGCACCGTCCACTCGCCCCAGTCGAACGACGTGAGCGCGCGCCACTCGCCGCCCTCCACGTCCACGCTCCACAAGTCCACCACCTTCCCGAGCCGCGCCCTCCGCGCCAGCGTCCCCATGCGCTCGCACGGCACGTCGTACGTCTCCATGCTCCGAAAGTGCCTCCCCCACGTCTGCACGTGCCGCCTCGTCATGTCCCGCACTGCCCCCGCCGCGAGCCCGTCCCCGACAAACGCCGCGCTCCCGCCGCCGCGCTCGCAGACGGCCGCGAACAGCTTGACCGCCCTTTTCCGCCGCCCGCCACGTACCAGCCGCACAAAGTTCTCCACGCTCCCCTCCACGAGCAGCCCGCCCCACCCGAGCTGCTCCTCGAAGAACAGCGTGTTGCTGCCGCGCACCCCGTCCCCGGCCCCCGTCTCGATGAACGTCCCGTTCGTCTTCAGCGGCGCCCGGAAGAACAGCGCGTACGCGAGCTCGTCCGGCCGCCCCACGTGCGTCCACCGCTCCACGCCCGCCGCGTCGCGCCGCGCCTCGAAGTGGTCCTGCCCGTGGAACCGCGCGGACGCGGGCCGCGCAGCCTCCGCCGCAACCGCGGCGGCGCGCGCAGACTCTAGACCCCACTCGCCCGCGCCCGTGCCCGCAGACGCCTGCAGCGCACGCTTGATCGAGTGCAACTCACGCAGAGACAGCTCCCCGCCGTCCGACGGGGCCGCAGACCGCAACGACGGCATCCCGCACACTAGCATGCCCGGCGCGAGAAGCAGCCCGGCTAACACGGCACACCGCACGGCGGCGCGCGGGAACGGCATGCTGGCGGGGAGGGAGTCGCACGGGGAAAGGCCTGGGGCATCGGATAACGCAAAAGTGGGAATCCGTGGAGACACTACCCGTGTACATATACGTACCTTCTAGGTAAGGGAACGTGTGCATGTTGGCGTCGAGTGAATGGCCACGTCAGGGCGGACGTGGCTGATGACCAGGGTTGGAATTAAAAAAAAAAGTCTCCTAATTCGCATACGTCCTCTCTCTTCCGCTCCCTTCCCTTGTGTCTCTTGCTTGACGCTCTCTATTTATATACAAAGTACATGTCTCACTGGTACCAGCAAAACACACACGCGGCGCTGCGGTCAAGAAGGCGCCACACGACGAAGCTCCTTGCCGTCCTGCATTTCCTTCTCCATACGTCCAATCGCAAAGTACAAATACGTCCCCGCCATGACCACGAACGCGCCCACAAACACCATCCCGCCGCCCCTCCCCCCGAACCACATCGCGCTCATCACCAGCAGCACGGCAGTCGTCGTGGTCGTCGCCAGGTTCTTCACGACGGCGTCGGCGTACTTGTACACAATATTAATCGCGATGCCCATCCACGCGTTGCTCACAACCACCAGCACGGCTGCCGTCCCGTACCCCTCGAAGAACGCCGGGCTGTGCGCGTCCGCGGTGCGATTGCGCAGGAAGCCGACCATATTGAACGCGGCGCCAAACGAGTAGAGCAGAACGTTCTTGGTGGCCAAGCTCGCGCCGTCAAACTGCTTGACGACGTGCTCGTTCCACACATTCGCGACGCTGGAGTTGAGCAGGCTGATGACGAGCACTGCGTACGTGGGCGCGGCGAGGTGCGGCTTCCCCGCGCACGCGTCGAGCTGCGCGACGACGAGGCCGCACATCTGGACGAGGAGGACGAGCCAGCGCGTGGGCGAGAGGGTGAAGCGGCGCCACGCGTACATGAGCAGGGCCGAGGCGATGGTGGCGCCGGACTTGATGAGGGTGATGGAGCCCGGGTCGGCGCGCGCGAAGAGGAGGAACATGAGGGCGTTGTTTGCGCAGTAGAGCAGGGCCAGGCCGGCCATGTGGGCGACGAGGCGCGGCGAGACGTCGTCGCGGAAGGCGGCGTGCGCAGAGGGCAGGGAAGGGTGCGAGCGGGCGAGGTAGAGGAGGGAAAGGAGGATCTTGATGGTCTCGGAGAGGACCAGCGAGGACTGCGGCGAGTAGGCGTAGCGGCCGGAGGAGTTGGAGAGCTTGAGGACGGAGGAGGCGAAGATCTGCACGGCGGTGAGGCAGCCCCACGCGAGCAGCTTCGTGCGTAGAGGGTAGTCGCGCGCGCGCTTGGAGGGGAGGGGGCGGGTAATGACGCGCATGACGGAGGCGGGGGAGGCGGGGGGGGAGGGAGGGAGGGAGCGAGGGGGGGAGCGAGGGGGGGAAGGGGGGGCCGGCATTGCGAAGAGGAGGAGGGGGAAGAGGGAGTAATCGGGTGCGGAAGGGAAGGGAGGTGGGAGTGGAGAAGGGTTCTGGGGTTGAGGAAGGGGATGGAACAAGGGCCGGTGAGGATGACGATGGCCTGGTTCCCCCCCCAGCTGCTGCGGCAAGTCTGTCAGCAGGGCAGAGCGGGGATTGGTTGTATCTCCGCGGCAACGAATCCGCGCGTTCCGGCCAACCCCATTGGTCGCCACCATCATCTTATCGTTATGATAACTGGGCATGTCTCGGTCTTACAGTAATGACAGTGCGACTAGTGCTTTACTACAGTATCTGCATCAATGCGAGTTGCTATTTAAACAATTAAAGCCAACCCCCCCAACACCCTCCCAACTCTACAACTCCTCCTTGCCCTCCTTCTTTCGTTGCTTCTGTTTCCGTTTCTCCTCCCGTTCCCTCTCCTCCTCCTCTGCGGCCTCCTCATCGTCCCTGATGATCGCTTCGTCTTCGTCGCCGACAAACTTGTATGCCATGAGCGCACTCTTCTTGACCGCGTCGTCGATGTTGTTCGGCAGCTCGGCGATGCTCATGTGGCCGCCGGCGAGCATACCAACCACCTCGAACTCCTCCGTCTTCATCTGCGTCGTCGCCGGCGCGCATACCAGCAGTCGGTCCTCCTGGTACCCGTCCTGGTTCTTCAGCTCTCGCAGCGTCGTCATCAGCTTGAGCCGCGAGTCGCCGCCGTCGTACACCGATATGTTCTTAAAGTTTGGCCCCAGGAACGACCTGTGTCCGATGATGCCCTTGTACATCACCAGGTCTGCGTTTTGCGGAATCAAGCTCAGACTGCCGGCGCCTCCTCGCAGCAGCACGCGCGGAATGCCCGACTGATGCATGAAGCCGTAAAAGAACACCATGGCGACGGTGAAGACCAGGTGCGCGTAGCGGAAGTTCCTGGATGAGTCCGGGCCGAAGATCGTGCCCGCGATGCACACGACGCATGGCGGGATCAGGGACATGAGCGAGATGACGCCGAGACGATCGTTGTTCTGGATGACCTCGATGAGGAGCCCCATGAGAAAAGTGGTCTGGATAGTGTCGAAGTAGGTGTAGATCTCCTCCTCCAGCTCCTTGGTCATGCCCGCCTTCTTCGGCTTTCGCTTCTTGGTCTTCTTTGCGTTTGCGACCTGCTTCATCTCGGACATGAGCTCCTTCATGGCGACTTTGAGCCCCTCGTACGACTCGCGCATCAGCACGATGAACAGCGGGCCCAGGATGGCTGGTAGCGACAGGAACATCTGACCGGGGGACGTGTTCATTGCAAGCGAGGAGATAAACTTGCGGTTGGCCACCTCGTGAAACGCGTTGATCGGAGTGTACACTAGGCTCCCCTTGTACGAGAACGGCAAACCCTTTGTGCAATAGTCGAGAAACATGTCAAAGCTGGTCATGACGGTGCCGCCAAAGCGCAGCTTGAAAGTACCAAAGAAGACCGAGTCGACCGAGACCCAGATCGAGGCCCAAAAGGCGAAGATGGCGGCGCCCTCCAGCGCGGCGCGCACGTACCTCAGCGGCTGGATGCCAGGCTTGCCCCACAGCGACATGAGGTAAATAATCGGGGTGAAGGCAAACCAGGCAAAGGCGGGTCGCAGAAAGACACCGAGCGCGAGCGAGGTGGCGCTGAGCCAGAAGACGGGCCTTGCGACATTGGGCTTCCACCCGAAGCAGGCGGCGACCAGTCCCGCGACGCAGAGCGACTCGAGCGCAAAGTTGGTGTTGCGGGCCATGCCGAGCAGGGTGGTCCAGGACGAGGCGTAGGTGAGGAGGGCCCACGGGGCGTTCTCGCCCTCGTACACGGCGAAGGCGCGGACGAGCAGGGCGTCGCCGAGCAGGCTGAGCAGGAACATCCAGACGCGCGGGGCGTACATGGAGATCAGGCCCATGTTCATCGGGTCGCAGCCGTCGACGACGCGGGTGCAGAAGACGTTGACGCCCATGAACGGGATGCCGCTGGAGACGAAGGCGCCGACGATGGAGCGTGTGCGGTTGACGTCGCCCATGCCGGGCGGCGGCACGAGCACGGCCGGATCGAGCCCGCCCACGTTCATGGAGGGCAGGAGGGCGACGGCGAGCTGGTCGACGCCGTCGGCAAACTCGGTGCCCTCGAGGATGCCCGGGGTGACGAAGATGAGGAAGAAGCGCAGGAAGACGAGCAGCGGGTACCACGGGGTCGAGAGCAGGGTCTGCAGGACCGGGGCGCCGAGCGAGTGCGAGCCGATCGCGGCGGACGGGTCCGGCGCGGGCGCGGGCGCGGCGTCGCGCGGCTTGCGCACGCGCTTGAGCTTCTTCG